AAAGGAAATCCTCAATTGTAAGAATAGAGGGAGAAGGGGGAATCTCCGGACTTCCTTGCGAAGAGAGGGGCCTTGGAAGACCAAGGGATAGCCTCAATTATAAGAATAGAGGGAGAAGGGGGGATCTCCGGACATCCTTGCAAACATAGGGGCCTTGGAAGACCAAGGGAAAGCCTCAATTGTAAGAATATAGTGAGAAGAAGAGAATGAGCAATTTTTCTAAAGGCCTTAGGGGGCTATTTATACTTTTTTGAGAGAAGGAGGAAGTTTCTAGAGTTTTCTAGAATTTTCAAAAAAATTAAATTTTTTAGAATTTTTTCGAAATTATTTTTAATTTTCTGGGGTTTTTTCTGAATTTTTCGGATTTTTTAAATCCATGTGGGCCCCACAAAAAAATTATGGAACCGCTTTTCAAGGGTCGCCTCACGCGCGCCCCTTCAGCCCACCAACGCGCGGGTTATCGCCGGCGGTCGGCCGGCCGGCCGGCCGGTTCTGCCGTCAAGGTTTCTCGGGCTCCAATTTTTGGCCCGAACGGACCAAATTTGACGTTTTTGGGGTCCCGAATACATTTTTCGATGTTCCGGACTCAATTTTGACACTTTTGAAACTCAACGGGGCCTCTACAATCAAGTTTGAGCAAGCACTTAATTTTCGGAACGCAATTTTTGGCGTTTCGGCCAATGCAAATTGTCGACCTGGAGCATCGACGTCTGAAAATAGGGGGGCAACTGATACGTCATCATGAAATTATCTTGATCGGGTACGAATCTCGAGGCAAAAATCAAGTTGGGAACTTCAAAAATTAAATCCATGAGCACCCAAACTCTGATTTTTGTAAGCTTATAGTCAAATTGACCGTCTCGAAAATACGAAGTCAACGACACCAAATTCGACTCAATCCGAGCCCAAATGAGCGCAAATCAATGACTCGAAGCGCTATTGGAAGGTTCAAATCACAATTTGAGTTACCAAACAGCCTTCGATTTTAACGAGCTTATACTCGAATCGAACGGCTCGACGAGACGATTTGAACGAGCCTAAGATCGCCGAAGTCTGACATCTCTAAGGCCTTCAAATATCCACCGAACGGTGCATGATCGTAGGATTAGATATCGGCCGTCCATTCATCCACTCCCTATTCGCCCCTAATCTCACGCCTATTTACAAGTCATGCCACTCCATAAAAACTATAAATAGAGCCCTCATTCTTCACAAAGGGGGATCCAAGCAAGAAGAGAAGGAAGAAGCTCCGCCTCGACTACCGCCGGAACTTCGCCGGACCACCGCCGAAACTTCGTCAGACCACCGCTAGAACTTCGTCGGACCACCATCGGAACTTCGCCGGACCACCGCCGGAGCTTCGTTGCACCACCACCTTAAGGCCCGACGTTCTTCTGCTGCTGAAGGCCCGACGTTTTGCTGAAGGCCCAACGTTCTGCTCAAGGCCCGATATTCTGCTCAAGGCCCAACGTTCTGCTTAAGGCCTGACATTCTGCTCAAGGCCCGACGTTCTTGCCCGATGTTCTGGCCTGACGTTCTTCTGAAGGCCCGACGCTCTGCTGAAGGTCCGACGTTCTGCTGAAGGTCCGACATTTTGCTGAAGGCCCAACGTCTGCTGAAGGCCCGACATTCTGCTCAAGGCCCGATGTTCTGCTTAAGGCCCGACATTCTGCTCAAAGCCTGACGTTCTACTTAAGGCCCGATGCTCTGCTCAAGGCTCGACGTTCTGCTGAAGGCCCAACGTTCTGCTCAAGGCCCGACATTCTGCTCAAGGCCTAACGTTCTGCTTAAGGCCTAACATTCTGCTCAATGCCCGACGTTCTTCTGAAGGCCCGATGCTCTGCTCAAGGCCCGACGTTCTGCTGAAGGCCCAACGTTCTGCTCAAGGCCCGACATTCTGCTCAAGGCCTAACGTTCTGCTTAAGGCCTAACATTCTGCTCAATGCCCGACGTTCTTCTGAAGGCCCGATGCTCTGCTCAAGGCCCGACGTTCTGCTTAAGGCCCGACATTCTGCTCAAGGCCCGACGTTCTGCTAAAGGCCCGACATTCTGCTCAAGGCCTGACATTCTGCTCAAGGCCCGACATTCTGCTCAAGGCCAGACTACCAACTAACACGCGAACTTTCAGGTGACGCCAGGGTACGGTCAGACTATCAAGTGACGTCGGGTCTAACACCAGACTTCTATCGAACAATTGCTAGTTGTAATATGATCGCCCTTGGAGGCGAGTCAGCCCTTTGTAACTGACTCAAATTCTAGTGGAATCATTTTCAACTGGGCTTGGCCCCGTGGTTTTTCCCATTTTCAAGGGTTTTCCACGTAAAAAATATTGTGTTCTCTGTATGTGAGCTAGATATCCGTACAACGCTAAGACGTAGAAATATAACTCTATCGCTGCGTATATTCTAGCCCGCAACTAGTACTAAAGGCCGAATAAGATCAACCAACCAACGACTTGACAAGGTCTCCCGGGCTTGAGGTTCAGACTATCACGATAACTTAAGCGATGTCCATTAGATGTGGAAGGTTATTTCATAAAGAGAATTGATGTAGGTAATCATCAGAGGAATGAGACAAGCAAAACAACGATAGAATAGAAGCTCTGTGAGCACGATAAATTGGTAGAAACCAAGGAATATATTCTTTTCTATCTCATTCTTCCTCCTTTACAACTACATATATGCCCTGCCTTCTTTACTATACTAGAAAAGGCGTAACTAATAAAAAGTAGTAATGAGTTGTATAATAACAAAAAGGGTAAAATAAGTAGTGGCAAGTAAACTACTGAGTAAAAGTATAACGGAAAGGTAAACTATAGGTAAAATTTCTTCCCTGCTTAAGCGGTTCCGCATCAAGAATTATTTATAATAAATCATATTTTATTGAGATAGGAAACTCATATTGATTTATTAGTTGAAAGTTTTGATTATCAATCAAAAGATTTTGAGTAGGAGAAATTATTCTTTGCAGAGTCTGGACGGAAAAAGCATTCCGAAGTATGTATACATTATAAGTGATGTAAATCAAAAGCTGCTCAGAAGATCTCCAGAACAAAGTCTTAGTTTCTATAAGATATCGATAAAAGTATAAATTTGAGTCACATCCGAGAATTCTAAATGATGAGAAGAGAAATGTGAAAAGCTCTATATACTGTAGAATTATTAAGAATCAGCCAAGAGAGTTCATATAGCTTTATGTGGATTAATCGAAAGGTTCTAAGACCACCATATAACTTATTTGAGAGCCTTTTATGCCAAGAGGTTTGTATGCTTGGCTAAGAGGTTAATGTGCATAGCTTAGATGTTTATAAGCATAACTAAGAACTGCAAGAAGCTACACTGAACTGAGACAAATTTTAATTATAATTGAAGTCCAATATATTCTCTACTTTAAAGACAATAAATGCATGTTGGATTGGTTGTTATGGATTTTATTTTTAGATGCAAAAATAAATGGGAATAAGCTAGTGTTTACCTCTATTTAGATAAGTTGAATTCAAAATTGTTTGTGAATCAAATCCAATTTTATTGAGAATACTAAGCGAAAAAGTGAATATAAAAAAGAGAGAAATTTTAGAATAAGAAACTCTAGGATTTTAGCAAAATAAATCAAAGTATAAAAAAATACATAAATTGTGCTCACCACTTAACCCCTTAATTGTAAATTTTAGTTGGGACTTGAGCATTACAGAATTGATTGTATAAATGACTATATAGAAAATAATAAAGAATATAATGATCGTACAATACGATTAGAATGTCCGAATTATATAAAGTTGTATGTTGAGCTCTTAAGAAGTCATCGACTTAGGACATATTGATAGCCGAGTAGCTGAATAATTGACCAATAGTTTGTCTTTCAAAAGTTGTCCTTGTTTGAGTAGCCTCTAGGATCAACTTCATGGATAATAGTCGCCATGGTGACTAAAGGTCATACTCATCCAACTGAAACGAGTTTGTAGATCTTCTTGAGGTGAGTTTTCTTCTAGACTGACTAATTTCTTTTGGGGTTGAGACCAAGTTAATTTAACTTGCACCAGCTAATTTAAGCTTGAATCGAGTTTCAAGTATATTTTTTACATTCTTTTGTTGAGCTTTTGGTTCAGTTTTTCTTAGTATAATTTTTGATTGTTTATCACAATCTATTACATATAACTATTTCTTATAAAGAAATTTGACCTTTGCAAAAAAGAAAATTTGTGGGCCTTTTATGAAAAATAAAAAAAATAAAAAATTTGCGCAAAAGGAGAATCCTTATCTCTACACTACTTAAGAAAAGCCTAGTCCCTAAAAAATTCTATGAGAAAGAAGACTGACCTCAGGTCAACAAGTCTAATAGGCCTTTTTATTTTTAGGAAATGTGTAAAAGAAATTTAGTGTTCCAAAAAAAATATGATGGATGACAAGATGACTTTTTTTTTTTTTTTGGGAAGATGACTTCTTCTAACAAAAATCTCCGGATGGCAAGTAGATATTTAATGACCACTAAAGACCTCATAAGATCACCAACGATTTGACGAGAGATTATTAGGTGCGGAGTGCGGATATGAAGAACCATTCGCACACAAGTATAGGGTACCCAGCTAGATACCACTCGGTACTGTTGGGTTGTGCCTAGCTGGGTACCAGTGCTTGTGCGGACGGTGCACACTCTCCTCGACTTGAGGTCAGATTCTCACGACAACTTAGTGGAAGAGTGGAAGGTCATTTCTAAGAATTAGAGAAATTATTGGACGCAACTCTCGTCCGGAGGCGAATGAGGTGCAATCATGTCAGTAGTATCGAGCGGTACTAAGCTTCGGTACCAAATAAAGATGACATGCATTTTGATTAGTTTCCGGACGACGCTTGAGGTCTTTACAAAATAATTAGAGAATTATGAATTAAGAGATTTTTTTTTTAATTTAAAATTTAAATTATATGTGAAATTTTGATATAATTGACGGGAATGTTCCAAGGAAATATTTCATTGAGGATTACTTTATTGTTGACCTGTTGACTTCAATTACCGGTTAAAGAAAGTTTTGCATTTTTATTTGAGAGCATAGCTGTGCTGCATCTTGTCATCCTCTTCGTGCTAATTATTTTCCTACTTCCGCTTTGTAAATCTGTTGAAATGGAGCCTGAAAGAGCTTCTGCTGCGCTGGTACTTATTGCGTCCCTTATAGGTCTCGTCGGAGCTGTCGACAACACCATGGGCACGGGTTCCATCCTCTCGGCCACTGGCAACAGTACTTGGCTATCCAGTTCCGGCAAGTTCGCCTTCGGATTCTACAATGAAGGGAGCGGCTTTGCCGTGGGCATCAAGTTCTTTCCCATGCCCAACTCAAATTACTCAACCGTGATTTGGACGGCGGATCGGGACCATCAGCCCATTCCCGCCAATGCAAATCTGACTTTCGGATACGAAGGCCTTGTGCTTCATCTCGACGAGGGTAATCGGATCATTACCGGCGACTCATACGATGGCAGTTCGCAGCTCGCGTTCGCTTCCATGAAAAATTCCGGTAACTTCATCGTCTACGACTCGCACTACAACATAGCATGGCAAACGTTCGATAACCCTACGGACACCCTCCTGGCAGGCCAGGCGTTTCCTATGGGCCATAACCTCATCTCCAGCGTTTCGGAGAACAACCAATCGAGCGGCAGGTTCCGATTCTCGATGCAGAGGGACGGAAATGTTGTTCTTTATCCGGTTAACACCCCGGATACCGAGACAAACGCCTACTGGTCCTCAGGAACCAGTGGCTATAACGGCCTTGTCCTAGACCATGACGGCTCATTTAGATTAACCGATCTTAATTTCATTGGACACCCCTTTTTTCTAAGCCTAAACTCATCGCCGGACATGTCGGTAGAATTCTTAAGAATAGAAGCCAACGGTTACCTCCGGATTTACTCCACCAACCAATCTGGCTTGATGATGGTATCTGGTCAAATCCCGGACGATAATAATAAGTGCTTCATAAAAGGCATATGTGGATTAAACAGTTACTGCAATTCCACAGGGGACAACGGCGATGTGCAATGCCTCTGTTTGCCGGGCTACGTTTACATTGACCGGAGCAGAGTATTCGTCGGCTGTGAAAGGAACTTCACCAGGTGGAGCTGTGAGGCGGCGGTTAATGGAAGCACCGGCAATAGTGCCTGTTATAACATTTCCAGATTGCATAACATAACCTGGTCGGATGATTCCTACAACCGCTCCACGGTCAAATCCGAGCATGAATGCAGCGACGTGTGCTTCAGGGACTGTGATTGCTATGCTGCTCTATTCTTGCCATCAACAAACCAATGCAACAAGCAGAGGTACCCGTTCCAGTACGGGAGAGTTCTACTTGACCAGGACGAGCCAACAGTAGCGTTCATCAAGGTCGGCCTTGCAGAGCAAGAGAATCAACCATCAGTAAAGCCGGTCAGCAGAGAAAATCTACGAGTGCTGGGAACCGTTCCTCTGGTTCTACCGTTGCTCCTTACGGCGACCTTTGCCATTGTACTCGATTTCTTGATCTTCTTCCTGTGCAGGTACCGCATGGGGATATACCGTAGACTCTGTGAGAGCATGGAGACCGGCCTTGCTAAGGCGATGGCCCCGCGGTCCTTCTCATACAAGCAGCTTAAGGACGCCACGGATGGTTACAAAGAAGAGATCGGTGAGGGGAGATATGGCAAAGTCTTTAGACGATTACTTCCCCTGCGTGACGCGGGCACGCCGATTGCTGTCAAGAAGCTGAAAAATGTTCGGGGTAAAGTCGAGGAGAAGTTCCGCAACGAATTGAAGTCTATTGGAAGAGTGCACAACCGCAACCTGGTGCGACTGCTCGGTTTCTGCCACGAAGGATCCGATTGGATACTCGTTTATGAGTATATGAGCCGCGGCTCTCTCGCTGACCTCATCTTCCAGTCCCACGAAGCCCCGCCAAGCTGGAAGCAGAGGGTGAGCATCTCCATGGATGTTGCCAGGGGACTTTACTATCTGCATGAAGGATGCGATGTCGCTATCATCCATGGCGACATCAAGCCAGAGAACATCCTCATCGGGGACGATGGAATTGCCAAGATCGGAGATTTGGGCCTTGCCAAGCACCTTCAGCCAGGGAATCAAATAACATACACTCGTCCGAGAGGAACCCCAGGTTATAAAGCTCCTGAATGGGCAAACGATTGGGTATCGCCCAAAGTGGATGTAGTCAGCTTCGGAATACTTCTTTTGGAACTCCTATGTCTCAAGAAATTCTGGCATCTTCAGGAATTGGATGGCGAGTTTAACCTCGCCTCTTGGGCATATAAATATTTGAAGGGGAAAACAAAATGGCAGGTCCCTGGAGGGGATGTTGATATTGAGGAGCTGAAGGAGATGATGAAGGTAGCTCTTTGGTGCTTGCACGGATCGCCGGAGAAACGCCCGTCCATGTACGATGTTGTTATGATGCTCTGCAGGAAGAAGATCGTGGAGTTTCCTCCAGTTCCTTTGCTAGATTGGAACGACCGTGCGGACACGGGCCAACCGCCCATGGCCGACGTCGAGAGGGGATGAAATCCAAGGTTTTCCATAATGAATCGTGGATAAAAAAAATCCTAATATAACATCCATTAATTCCTTACATAGGAACCTCTGCATGGAATTACTGGGCACTGAAAGTATTAGTCATGCGTATTTGTATTTGCCAGTCTGCTTGTCGTATGTTATTTCTTTTGTACTCCTAATATGGAATCTTCTCAGTCTTCTGTATTAGAATTAACGTTAGATTGTGTTCTTATCTATAACTGTAGCAAATGCATGGAGCCAACATGATGAGTGAACCATTCTAATCTTGGGTCTGCATATGATGGGAAGTGACTCTCTAACGTACAAGAGATTATTACGTGTGGAGTTCAGATATAGAGAAGCGTTCTGTTTTATGACTGTGAATAATAAATGTGCAGTTATTGTTCAATGCTGCACTTTTACTGTTCACAGTCACAAAATCTAATGATTTTCTGCGTCCGGACTCCGCACGTAATAATCTCTCCTAAGGCACATACATTATGACTATTGTGGTGCTAAGACTTATCTTGGATAAGAGAAAACTAGTATTTAATTTTTAAGAGATCTATCTATCATATCATGTCGATTATAATTACCGGTTAGCAACATTAATTCTTAAGGTGGGGACAAATACATTGCGATTTATCATGCTTTTTATGACAAGATAGAAGGCTTTGGATAGGACACAAGAACCCTTTCAACTTTTAAGAGAAAATATGTGATTTGATCATAATTGTAGGCACACAAAACCGTAGATGGAGAATTTTGTAGAGCTTATTTATATAAATTGTTTTTTGTCAAACATCTCAAATGAGTTAAAAAAATATGTCATGTTTATAAACTCTATTTATAAGAAGAATTTAGTTCTTAATTGAAAATATTCAATATATTTATCAATAAAAAATAGTGAACTTCATATCCTCTCATGATTAAATTATGATATAATGATGAAGCAGCTACATTGACCTAGCTAGATTACCCAAAATCGAGCTATTGTGAGTAGCCAATTGTTGACTCTATGAGTCCATGATGTGCAGGATCGCATGAGCTAGCTTATTTTGATGATTACTAATAAATGTTTGAATATTCTAATTATTTATATTAAATAATTTTAGGATTAAATAAGTGCATAAAATTTGAACATCAAAATAACTACAATTTAATGATCAAGAGATTTTGAAGATGAATAAAAATTTTAGAAAGGAATTCAAATTTCTAATTATTGTGTCCTCGATTTTACAATCTTTTTTCTCATACTGAAACTCTCGACCTTTCCGTCGTTCATCACTAGGGGTGTCAAAATTGGGTTTCAGGCTGAACCTGTCAGGTTGTCCCGACCCGATCTAACCTGTCGGGTTGACCCGACCCGACACGGTTGAGCTTCTCGATGGCGACATCAGCACAATGGCACGGCGGCACGAACGCTGGCTGGCAGGCACGGGCGCGAATGCTAGCGCTGGCAGGCGCGGTCGCTCAGGCTCGACACAGGTGGGATCAGGCAAGTGCGGGCAGCTTGGACGCGACACGGGCTTGGGTTGGCGTAGGCTGCTTCGGGAACGACGCGAGCTAGCTCGGGCAAGTGCTGGCAGCCTCGGCATGGGCGCAGTCAGCTTATTTCAAATGGGTTTGTAGGTTGGCCCAAACTCAACGGTTCAACCCAAACCCGACCCATTTTTTCAAATGGGTCGAATCCGAGAATCCGAACCCGACCAATTTTGAAAACGGGTTGGAACCCAAAATTTTCAAGTCATGTTTTCGTGTTGTGTCAAATATTGACACCCCTACTAATCACCATTTCAAGCGGTTTATAACTTTTTTTTTTTCCATTTCTTTGAGATTTGAGAGGTAAAGATTCTTATCTTCGCTCTTTTTTAATTTACTATGATTTGAACGGTTAGATTTTATTAAAAATGCATTTTAATCCGGAGAAAAGTTGAACCATTTCATTAATATCTTGTTTGTAATCATTGTTGGATTGTTAGTTTGATTATGATATTAGTAATTTTATAAAGCAATATTTTTCGTTTTCATAAATTCATATGTAATTTTGTAGTGTATAATTTATTGATTAGGTTTAAATTGTCATGAATGAAGCAAGTTAAAAGAATATTGTTTGGAACTATGTCATCTCCACAAAGAAGGTCTCTCCAACATAGATTATTGATTCCAATATTCATTGTGTTTTTTTTTTTTTGACAAATTAAGCTTGGAATGTGGAAGTTTATTCTTTTGAAGTGGAACTTATATTTAATAGTGTTTGACAAAGGAAAAAATATTAGGTCCGGACTCTACATTTGGACGTTAATAACACGTCGTCACGTGCGCTTACTCTTTACCGCGCGGCCTGACGACCCGACCCGGACCGGAACCCGGTATTGCTATGTTCCAGAATTGCTCGGTATTGTTCGGTATTGCTTGACAATAACGAGAAATACAGCTCTGTCAAGACCAATACCTAGCAAAACCGGAATATTGCTCGGTATTGCTCGGTATTGGTCTTGACAGAATAGTATTTCTCGTTATTGTCGAGCAATACCTAGCAATACCCTGATCTGCACAAATCTACCAATACATAGCAATATCGGGTCCGGGTCGGGTCGTCGGGCAGCATGATAAAGAATAAGAGCGCGTGGAGACATGTTATTGGCGTCCGGATGTAGAGCTATGTCCAGCGTTCGGACCTAATAATTTTTCTTGACAAAGGGGGCTGCTTTGATCTTGAGTTAAATACTTGAACCCAAAGTCAAAGGGAAGGGTCAAGGAGGACCACGGTGAGTTTGAACTAAGTTAATTAACCCATTTATGTAGATTGGGCTATTATCAGTTAGCTTCAAGAAATAATTAACAAGTTTAGTATTTTTGAGAATTTCAAGATTAAGCTCTTTATTATTTTAATGTGATTGTTTTATTTTTAGGATTGTTAATTTAAACTATATATCGATATCTATTTTTAGAATATGCTCTCACCAAGGAGATAAAGGAGATGAGACAAATACAAATTAATATACTGATGCAACAAACTGAAATGTTAACGCAACAATCCAAAATACTTGTAGAACTGCGATCATCTATAACAAAAAAATCGAAAGAAGAAGAATTGATAGCCGAAGTTTGAGGAGAGTGAAGACAATGAAGATGATTAGATGTTTTACATTTATTGTAAAATGTTGTCAACTTTATGTTAAAAATGACAATGATGTTTAGAAGATTAATTAAAATATAACTGTTGTAATTCGAATATTTGTTAGATTTATATTTTTAATGTTTTTTTCGTTACAGTATTATTTTAGAATTACAAGAACTTGTTATATATAATATGTTTTTAGAAATTGTTGTAAATTTCTAATTATAAATTGTTCCATTGCAATGACGAAGGGATGGATTTTTTTTTTTTTTTGTAATTACTAAAGGATTTTGGCAGAAAATCTGTCGATAATCTTCTATACAAGGTTATTAACATATGTTTCGGTAGAGAGCAGATGTGATTGTGACAGAAATTTTCGCTGTGAAAAATTTCGCCATCCTCAACTTTTTTTTAAACATGTCCGAAATTTGCTTGAAAATTTTTTGTCGACATTGTACCTACCGGAATATTATTTCTAAAGGACATTTTACCGGCATAATACATTCGCTCGAAAATCCATCGAAAAATTGCAAATTATTTTAATTTTTTATTTAATTATTTCTCTATGGTGGTTCAATCTCCTTGAAAGGCATTCTTTATTATGCTCATCATTTATCATAATAAACTCTATTTGATGACCTTGCATTACCAATTTAAGTGAAAAGTCTTATGGAAAGATTGCAACACTTCATTTAATATTGTCATATATTATTTGAATTCAATTCTATGTGATGTGTACAAAATATATTCAAATAAACTTTTTGAAAATGTGATGTTTTTTAAATTTCCACTAGAATTATTTTCTTAATTCTTATGTTGAGATAGTTGATAATTGCATAAACAACTTGTGTTTTTATTTCATCTTAAGCCAAAAAGTGCCACTAGAAACCTAAAAAAATGATTGCAACACAAATGTCCTTAATATTATTGCATGTGAGGTTCATTGAGTATTTATCACAAAACTAAAAAAAGAGGGACATTTGCTAATACTTGGTAGGTATAACAGTATTAAATTTGTAGTTCGCCTTTGTTACTTCTTTTCTATGAAGTATTGGCCTCTAAAATTTTTGAAGCACTATTATTAAAAGTTTAAAGCTTCCTTTGTACACTACAGGAAAATCATTTATTACCGATGAATAGTTCGAAATTACCGACGATTTGTAAAATTTTCGGTGGTTAGAGAACCGTCGGAATAAACCGCATAGGAACCTAACCCCGGCGGTCTTTTTATAGTAGTTTTTCGATGACTACAACCGCTGGAAATACATGGCAAAAAAAACCCAGGGAAACCACCAAAATTTATCGGCAAGAAGACCGTAGGAAAGCCGCCGGCAATTACCGGTGGTCAAACTGCCGCTAGACCACTAGTAATTACTGGAGATTAAATTTAAGAACCAATGGCTATAAAAACCAACCATTATCGAGTTTTTCGACGGCTAAACCATTGGTAAGCTGCCAGTAACCTGTAGCATTTGAAAAAACCCCCACCACCCCTCCTCTCACCAAAATTATTTTTTTCTTGGCTAAAGTGATATAAGAGATTAAATATATATATTTTTAAAGAAAATTAAGAGGTTGATGTGCAATTAAAATATAATTATTCAATCACGATTTTTACAACATGTAATATATTCATAAAAAATAGTTACATAATTTATTGATTTTTTTTTTCAAAATGGATCTTAAAAGTATTGTATTTATTTTGAGAAATTTGTAATATACATTTTAATTGATTTTTTTTTCCTTTTGCACTCATTTTAAAGCAAATTTAAGTGTGGAATATAAGTTTACATAAGAAAATTAGCTTTATTTTCATAAAAAAGACATAATAATTCTATGATTTAACATGCAAGAATATGCTTTAGGCTTTGTTCGGAATAGTTTTCTTACTAATTTTCACAATAAGTTTCTTAAAAAAAAAAATTTACTATGGCTGCAATATCATATCACATGCTCAAACAGAGACCGCTCCCAAATGGTTTGCTTTCCCTCGACCCAAATGGCCTACTTCGTTTTCCCCTTGCTCCTCTTTCGCGACTCGCGACCTCGAGCACGACTTTCAGTTTTTCTTTCGCTCCTCTCTCACCATGTTATTTACATTATTAATT